ACCCACCGGAAGCGATAATATCAGAAGAAGAAACACAAGACGCAAGACACGCAGTATGGCTCTTCACGAAGACATTCGAGGCTATGTAAGTAGCAACAATCACTTATAACATAACATTTAACCGGCGAATAACCCCCCCCCCCAAGAAACCGATAAATCGAGGCAACTACGAACCGGCCCCTAAACTAATTTGACCCACCCCACACACAAAGACACACACACGCACACACACATACCGAACCAGACATGCAGAAAGGCTGATACAAGGACTACACCATGCTACCACAATACCAGACTCGACCAATCGAAAGGTAAGAGACTCCTAGAATTAAAATGACACAAACGTTGTTCGCTAATCAGAACCGTTTGTGCCAGTAATTAATTTCATCCCAATTGGTCAAATACCAAAACACTTCGAGACGACAATGAGCTAGTGTGACAACTTTACGTAAATTAGAATAGATATCCAAGTTGTAATTAAACCACACGATAGACGTTTATTAAGGGGATACGCCACTATCTCCCACTTTTCTTTAATATTTTATTTTTGCCAACCTAGTTAGTATATTTAGTCTATACTTGACTAAGAAGATTCAGGTACAATAATATTGAATTTGTAACTTACTTACTACATTTATATGCGATTTTAGATAAAGAAGGTCTGGTGGAAATTTGAATACTATAAGTATAGTACTACCGGAGTTATTAAAACTTTTGTACAATAATAACATTAAAAAAACACGGTATTGAGATAATCGCAGGTGATGTAACAAGTGGTTGGCAGGAGAAAAATTACCATAACTACACTAATTTATGATTTTATAGTATATATAAAAATAGCTAAGTACTTATTTTGTTTTAAATAAATGTACCCTACTTTACACCTTCATAATACATAATTATGATACACAATTAAAACTGTACATATCAGGAACAAAAAAATAGTTTAAAATTTGTTGAATAGCTGGTTGCGACGTTTTATATTTTTTTTTATAAGGAGTTGTCAGATTGGCAAACAGTTTTAGCTAAATGTTCACGAGGGCTAATGTTAACTCTAATAACCACTACAAGACCCGGAAATAAATGTCAATAGTAAAAACGCGCGGATAATCTAACATTACTAAACAAGATAATCATTCAACATCCCATATACAACGATAATTTGGTAAAGTGTAAAAAGGGTTTAAATATGGCCTACAGATAGTGGCGTATCCCCTTAATTGTATATTTAGGTCTCTCACGGAGATCAACCCAAAAATAAATGTCAATAGTAAAACACGCGGAGACTCTAACAATACTAAACAATATAATCATTCAACATCCCATATACAACGATAACAATTCGTTCCTATGATGGATGAATCGTTGACATTAAATAGTGACGGGGGGTTGTGAACACAAATACCCAAGATACGACAGCGGTCGCATACAAACAACGGGAGAAAACTAACAATCCAACACTGTATGGGTCTGGACTAAGCGGAGTTGTCCGGCTCTGTAGGGTTCGTGTTGTGTTTTGGATGACGTCTGTTTTGTCTGGTGAACCCAGAATTCAAAATTTCCGCTCTCGTGCACTGAGAATATGTACCTCGCTACGCACTATATAAACCACATACAGTCATTTATTATCATATCACTTTTAAACATTGGTTTCTATGTTATGTATTCCATAGATTAATCAAGTCGTTATCTTTAAGTCGACCATCAATTTACAATAATACCATTCAAAGATTTCACAGTCAACTTCACTATAATACGGACTAATACAGCTAACAAATCCTCTACCGTTTTACCACAGGACTGAAGAATTCTCAACGATGGTGGAAGAGGTGATCGACAAAGGAAATAAAAAAACAACAGAGAAACACACACAGAAGACGAACACGTAAGTTTGCCAATTTCCAGACCACCCACCCATATCAAACCGAGTGTCATCCCTGATCACAGAAAAAAACCACACCACCTCTGTTCAAAGACACGTCAACTAACAACATTCTACTAACAATAATTTATTATATTTAAGATTTTGCGTCCAAGTGTGAAAACCCAATTTTACTCCATACAAGTTTTCACGTTTACGCTCAAGTTATCACGTTTTAGGCTTTTAAACAAAACTCCATCTAGATCGGACTAAAATTACTAAAAACTCAGGTTATCAAGTTTCACGCTTTTAATCTAAACTCCATATAGATCGGAATAAAATTACCGAACTCAGGTTATCAAGTTTTACGCTTTTAAACGAAACTCAACTTAATCTGATGTTATTGCTGGGGCGAATGATCTGTATTCGAAGCTCCCGCTACGCGCGTTTTGTAATACCTATAACTCGATTAAATATTGTATATAAGTGTTAAACAGTTGGTTATGGCCAATTGGACTAAATCCTTGACAATAATAGTGCAACTTACATAGATGGTGGAGTATGTTTTGGTGATATAAAAAACTTCGCTGTGCTTTTAGACGAAACTCCATCTACATCGGACCAAAATTACTGTACTCAAGTTATCACGTTTTACGCTTTTAGACGAAACTCCATCTAGATCGGACCAAAATTACTGTACTCAAGTTATCACGTTTTACAATTTTAAACAAAAGCTTCATCTAAATCAGACTAATATTACTCAAGTTATCGCGCTTTACACTTTTAAACAAAATTTCATTAGAATCAGACTAAGATACTTAAGTTATCGCGCTTTACACTTTTAAACAAAATTTCATTAGAATCAGACTAAGATACTTAAGTTATCGCGCTTTACACTTATAAACAAAATTTCATTAAAATCAGACTAAGATACTTAAGTTATCGCGCTTTACACTTATAAACAAAATTTCATTAAAATCAGACTAAGATACTTAAGTTATCGCAACCAAGGACGTATATATATATATGTGGGTGTATATAAGCTGGTATATATTCTGATGCGCTCAAATTTTAACCCGCAGGAATGTCAGATTCGCCAACCAGGAAGAAGGATCCACCGAGGGGCCGAACAAGAAGACAAAGTGGATAGACTCCAGTTTTAGGGACAACACCGAACAATAAACCAAGTACAACCAACGTGCAAATAAACTATAATCCGCGGTTAATTCCAACTAAACCCAATTTTTTTACATTAATAATAAGTATAGATTTCATATAGATTAGCTAAGACAACAGATTTTTATTTCAATCATTGTTAATTGAAGATAGGTAATTTTAGCGATTAGTTAAATCGGTTTACTACCCATGTACGTATTAACGATTCCCCGATGTAAGTGTTCAGAAACAAAGGCATAAAACGCTGTACAAAACGTTTACCAGTTTGAACAGCGTTTTATATATCACATTTTTAAAATCAACCAAAACGAGCGACAACGGAAATACACAATAGTGCCAAAAACCCACCCCTACAACCCCCAGCTCTCTCCCCCCCCCACCATCCCCTCGGTCAACCACTAACGCTGGCCAAACTACCCCAGCTGATACGGGTGATCAACACGTCAGTTGGACAAGTGCAGACGGAGCGACAACTACTCACCGTGTGACACCTGGAAGACAACCGAGTGACAACCAAAGGTAATAACAACGCACATTTACTAGTTTTACTAATAAACATTTACTATTTCTAACTTGTGATTACAACTAGATTCTAATAGGTCAACTACTTTCCCAAGGTTCGTGTATATTAACGTAATTATGTATTAGTTCCACTAGATACACATGACAATAGTCTATAATTTATCAAGGAAAGACCCAGGATGAAATTCACTAGCCATCCAATATCAAAAGGAACCAAACGCGTTTTCCGGAGCTGTATGTACACGTACTAACTTCGGTGACGATTCCTGTTAATACCATCGCCAATTCCAAATCTACACACGACTAGGCTAATCTACAAATATACGATTATCTTATCGCACCAATAACAATTGACGGGAGACCTGTCTTCAACATGCTAAGAAAACAAACCAAACAGTAACAGGAAAAAGCTATTGAGACGAGGGGGGTGGGTGGGCGGACAGGCGTAAACCGGTTATCGACAACAAGAACTGCAGTGCTTACTACCGACGAGCCTTTTCGCGAGTAACCTCTCGACGAGTTTACGGCCTAGGCCCGGGTTTTCCCTATAGCCCGAGTGTTACATCTAGACGCGTTAGTGGTGGATTAATCTCCAAGGGATATTCGGATAATTAGTAGGTGTTTGAACAAATGATTATTTATTATCAAGACTATGAGTTGATGTACATCGGTGAACACCGGTACACGAAAGTCAACCAGTCAGACAGACACGTTAAATCACCGACGAATTTAGGCATAGTTATTTCAATTTAACCAAGTTGTTTTATAGTTTCTTTCCCGGTCCATTCGCCATTACCGCTCAGTGTTGAAAGTTTAATCAACGGTTCGTATAATTAATCCCCACGGGATATTTTGTGAATTAGGATGAGTTTTAACAAATGATTAATTATTAACAAGACTAAAGGTTGAAGTACATCGGCGACAACCGGTACACGTAAGTCAACCAGACAAACAGACACGTTCAATCACCGACAAATTTAGGCCCAATTATCACAATTTAAGCACGTTACAGACTCGGCCTAGTCTCTTCAATACTGATCCCACCATCCAATGAATCTTAACCGACACAACAAGTGTTGCTAATTAACATCGAATGCTTAATCAACGGTCAGAATAATAAATCCCAACAGGATATTCTGAGAATCATTAGGGGTTTGAACAACTGTTTATTTATTATCAAGACTATTACATCGGTGAACACCGGTACATGAAAGTCAACCAGACAGACAGACACGTTAAATCACAGACGTATTTAGACCTAGTTATTACAATTTAGCCAAGTCGTTTTATAGTTTTTTTTCTCGTTTTTTTCGCAATACCCGCTCAGTGTCGAAAGTTTAATCAACGATCAGTATATTAATACACCACTCACATTGAATCTGATCCAAATGGCTGTACCGACAGGATCTAAACGAACTAAACAAAATGTCACATTCAACAACGGTCTAAACAAATCGCATCGGGTACAAGTTTTCTTTTTGTATATACACGATTTATTATTTATAGACACAAACCTTTTTAACAAACCTTTTTAACCTTTTTAACAGAACATCTACCGATTATTGGACATAACCAAACAAAGGTATGTAAAAATCCAACAGACACGTTACACCACCGACTACTAGGCCTAGTTAATTTTAACCTAGTTGTTTATAAGTTTTTTGCCTGATTACAAATACTAACACAGTAAAGATTTACTTGTTTACAATATGTTAGGCAGTTAGGAATTGGTCTACAGCCCACGGGTTAACGCCAGCATTTGGACTAAGGTTTAACCAGGTTTATTCTCATATACCCGGTCACGGCGGATATAGGCTTGACCCGGTTTGTTCACACATACCCAGTCTAGGCGGGTGTATGTCTGATGACGGGCTATTTTGAGAATCAGTGAGAGATATCTCTTTTAAACAACACAAACTCGACAATGTATAAATCCAACAGACACGTCAAACCGCTGACGTACTAGGCCTAGTTATTTAATTTTAACCTAGTGGTTTTTTAGTTTCTTTTACGAAATTACAAATACCATCACATTAAAATTATACTTGATTACCGTACAATAGGTTAGGCAATCAGGACTTGGTCTACAGCCCAAGGGTTAACACAAGCATTTGGACGAAGGTTTAACCCGGTATATTCTCGTATACCCGGTCTCGGCGGGTATGGGTTTTGCCCGGTTTTATCGCGTGTGCCCAGTCTAGGCGGGTATATGTTTTTTGACGGGCTATTTCGAGAACCAGTGAGTGGAAGCTCTTTTGATGAACACAAACTCGACAATGTATAAATCCAGCAGACACGTCAAACCACCGAGGTAGTAGGTCTAGTTTTTTTTTTATTTTAACCTAGTTGTTTTTTAGTTTCTTTTTCCGAATTACAAATACCATCACAGTAAAGGTATAGGTACAGTACTTGTTTACAATAGGTTAGGCAATTAGGAATTGGTCTACAGCCCACGGGAAAGATTAGTAACTCGAAAGGCCTTCTAGTGTGGGCATAGTCCACATACTTGACATATGAACAATTCCGATGACTCACACATCTGACACATATCGAATTTAATTATTTTACCACACAAACGTTTCGAACAACTGATTATTTACTATCAAGACTATAACTCGGGGACATGAGTGAACACCGGTACATGAATATCCACCAGACAGACAGTGTTTAATCGGGTTACTAATAAGACCCAGTAACAAAAGGGCATCAGGTCATACCTAGGCCTAGTTATTTCATTTAAATCTAGGCCTAACTTAGTCGTATTATGACTTTTTATCAATTTACAAATACAATTGTTGTTTATTAGTTTTTTACCAAAATACAATTACCATCACAGTAAAAGTTTGCTTGTTTACAATGGGTTAGGCAATTATAAGTTATCGATATTTTATGGCCAGTCCTATAAAACAATTTACTTCCTATTTTAAGTTTAATCGTTTCCCCGGTCTAGGCGGGTATACGTCTGTTGACGGGCTATTTTGAGAATCAGTGAGTGAAAGCTCTTTTAATCAACACAAACTCGACAATGTATAAATCCAGCAGACATGTCAAACCACCGAAAAACTAGGTCTAGTTTTTTTATTTTAACCTAGTTGTTTTTAGTTTCTTTTTCCAAATTACAAATACCATCACAGTAAAGGTATAGGTACAGTACTTGTTTACAATAGGTTAGGCAATTAAGAGTTGGTCTTCAGCCAACGGGAAAGATTAGTAACTCGAAAGGCCTTCTAGTGTGGGCATAATCCACATACTTGACATATGAACAATTCCGATGACTCACACATCTGACACATATCGAATTTTATTGTTTTTCCACACAAACGTTTCGAACAACTGATTATTTACTATCAAGACTATAACTCGGGGACATGAGTGAACACCGGTACATGAATATCCACCAGACAGACAGTGTTTAATCGGGTTACTAATAAGACCCAGTAACAAAAGGGCATCAGGTCATATCTAGGCCTAGTTATTTCATTTAAATCTAGGCCTAACTTAGTCGTATTATGACTTTTTATCAATTTACAAATACAATTGTTGTTTATTAGTTTTTTACCAAAATACAATTACCATCACAGTAAAAGTTTGCTTGTTTACAATGGGTTAGGCAATTATAAGTTATCGATATTTTATGGCCAGTCCTATAAAACAATTTACTTCCTATTTTAAGTTTAATCGTTTCCCCGGTCTAGGCGGGTATACGTCTGTTGACGGGCTATTTTGAGAATCAGTGAGTGAAAGCTCTTTTAATCAACACAAACTCGACAATGTATAAATCCAGCAGACATGTCAAACCACCGAAAAACTAGGTCTAGTTTTTTTATTTTAACCTAGTTGTTTTTAGTTTCTTTTTCCAAATTACAAATACCATCACAGTAAAGGTATAGGTACAGTACTTGTTTACAATAGGTTAGGCAATTAGGAGTTGGTCTTCAGCCAACGGGAAAGATTAGTAACTCGAAAGGCCTTCTAGTGTGGGCATAATCCACATACTTGACATATGAACAATTCCGATGACTCACACATCTTACACATATCGAATTTTATTGTTTTTCCACACAAACGTTTCGAACAACTGATTATTTACTATCAAGACTATAACTCGGGGACATCAGTGAAATATCCACCAGACAGACAGTGTTTAATCGGGTTACTACTAAGTCCCAGTAACAAAAAGGCATCAGGTCATATCTAGGCCCAGTTATTTCATTTAAATCTAGGCCTAACTTAGTCGTATTATGACTTTTTATCAATTTACAAATGTATAAATCCAGCAGACACGTCAAACCTCCGAGGTACTAGGTCTAGTTTTTTAATTTTAACCTAGTTGTTTTTTAGTTTCTTTTTCCAAATTACAAATACCAACACAGTAAAGGTATAGGTACAGTACTTGTTTACAATAGGTTAGGCAATTAGGAATTGGTCTACAGCCCACGGGAAAGATTAGTAACTCGAAAGGCCTTCTAGTGTGGGCATAATCCACATACTTGACACATGAACAATTCCAATGACTCACACACCTGACATATATCGAATTTTATTATTTTTCCACACAAACGTTTCGAACAACTGATTATTTACTATCAAGACTATAACTCGGGGACATCAGTGAACACCGGTACATGTATATCCACCTGACAGACAGTGTTTAATCGGGTTACTAATAAGACCCAGTAACAAAAAGGCATCAGGTCATATCTAGGCCTAGTTATTTTATTTAAATCTAGGCCTAACTTAGTCGTATTATGACTTTTTATCAATTTACAAATACAATCGTTGTTTATTAGTTTTTACCAAAATACAATTACCATCACAATAAAAGTTTGCTTGTTTATAATAGGTCAGGCAATTGTCAAATATCGATATTTTATGGCCAGTCCTATAAAACAATTTACTTTCTATATCATGCTTAACCGTTTCCAAATAACAATATATCTATGAAGTATACGGGCATCGCCGTTCGATTCGGAAGATGGATGCCCAGCGAAGAGGTATGGTAAAGGAACGACTACAATTTCCCCATTTATCTCATATTGGTTTGTTACAGATGGAGATAATCGACGTGACTTTTATAATTGGGGCTGCAGTCGCCCAAAAGAGCGGCCACGTGAGGGAGTCGATCGAGATAAACAGGACGTTCATACACGAACTAATTGAAGTGAGCAGAAGCAACACCACTGTTGACAGGATAAAGACATCCCTGTCCAACAAGTTCAAAACATTCCATACAAGTCTACAAAAAGTACTCGAGAAACTGGGATCTACAGATGGAAATCAGTTGGTGACAGATGCAATACTACAAGAGGTTAACGCTGACGTGGCAATGGTAAGGTCTTATACTATCATAATGCCTTTTATAAATATTTAAACGAATATGAAATACTAATAAATAATATGAAATATAAAAATATGAAATACTAATTAATATTATGAAATATAATAATATGAAATACTAATAAACAATACGAAATACGATGATATGAAATACTAATAAACGATATGAAATACTAATAAATAAAAAGATTATAACAATATGAAATGCAATAAGCGTTGGACAAAGTAGTGGTAAAAGACTGCCATTATGGGCCGATATTTAAAAAGAGGGAGCTCAGTGAAAGTGGACGCTTACAGAAATTTGATCCCGGACACCGAAGACCTGTTCACACTCACTTAGTTTACACACATTTTTTGGAGCGGATCCCTAAACCGCCCCTCCCCAGACTCCCTGGTTCACCACGCCCTTGGGACTGCTATAGATCCGCCACTTTTATTTCATCAAATTGTACATTATCACAGACATACATACAGACTCGTATCACCAGTAAACCACAACTTAGGCTTTAACGTCTCTTGTAAACAAGGTACCAGAAGCCATAGAAGACGTATTACATCCAGATTCTTTAACACAATCAATTCTTTTACCAATATGTCTTAATGTCTGTTCCAGTTGGAGCACGTAGTCCAGCGGGCGAAAGACGAAGGTGGGCTGGTGTTCAAGAAGAGGAAAATGAAAGAAAGTGAACGCCTAACGAAGCTAAACGCCATCCTGAAGCCAAAAAAGCTTAGGTGCCGAAACATAAGAGACACCGTCGCGACACTCGACGAGAGAATAGCCAAACTGGAAAAGCTCGAGGCTGAGAGCCTTCAGGAGTACGTCAGAGTCGCAAGGAGGGTGTTTGAAAATATAAGGTAGGCAATACGAACTTGAAACACAAATTAAATACAAAATCACTTATACAAACAAGATTCACCCGTCTATTCATACGGTATATCTACAGCGTAATGTTCCTATATTTACCGTTGCGAGGCGCAATGTCCGTAGACACTCGTTACCCGCTAAAGCAATCGAAATTAACGGTAAGGGGGGGAGCTTTACGCGTTCGATGTTAAATAATGTATATTTCGGGTGTTATCATTCAAAGATACCACATACGATATTTTCAAGCGTAGAAAATCCTCTTCGTATCGATCATGCTCTGGATATCGGAGTGGCGAATATCAAGCCTCGGTTATAGCTGGAAACAGGTTTGCAAGGTTGTGTATACCATAAACATTGTCACAAATATTTCAGATCTGTTTCCCACTTTAGCTGGGTCCCCAGTATAACCGACTTCAGTAATGACGAATTGTCCATGATTACCTGTTAGCCCGAAACAACCGCACTCTCGGTTGGCCTGACTTCACCGACATACACGTACAGACCGATAAACATGGGCTGTCCAACAAATGACGAACTGTTCACGATTACTGGGTAACCCGAAACAACCGTACTCCCGGTTGGCCCGACTTCACCGACATACACGTACAGACCGATAAACACGGGCTGTCCAACAAATGACGAACTGTTCACAATTACCGGGTAGCCCGAAACAACCGCACCTCCGGTTGGCCCTACTTCGCCAACATACACGTACAGACCTAGAAACACGGGCTGTCCATAAAACCACAAATTGTTCACAAATACCGGGTAGCCCGGGACGATCATACATAACCCAGCGCGAACGACCCAATAAAGACCACTAACAAGACGGGTTACGACATGACCAGGGAATAAGCCCTGTTATTTCCTTAAATAAGACATATATATTCCCTATTTAAACAAAACAAGATACAACGAGTGCTTAGATTTGCTGCTACGGGGGAGGTGAAAAGTATTTTTTTGGCCATACGTCAATAGTACGAATGAAATAAATAAATTTGCCAAATTTTTTTCAACATTTTTCCATAAACAAGTACAGTTTTTATTTTCTCCATAAGAATGAGAGCCCACGAAGGGGTTAACTAAATGTACGGCATCAATTCTCCAGCAAGGTAAAACTTGAAGATTTCAAAAATGTCTTCAAATTTGTTTATGACGGTTTCGCAATCTTCGAGGCGCAGGGTATGTAGACACTTGTTACAACCTGTAACAATTGAAAATTGATTAATAATACGATTGACCATACGTCAATGACATAGGACGAAATAAATAAATTTGCCAGATTTTATCAAAATATATCCATAAACAAGTAAACTAATAAAGTTGTTCTTTCTCCATAACAATAACACAAGAAATTTAAAACTAAATCGGTCCCGGGCCCAGATCTTACCACGAATACTCCTAATATCCTTATTAGTAAGTAATTCGCTAAAACGTGTAACTGGCATTATCAAAAAACACTGTTTACTAACGGCAGAATCACCCTGTACAACGAAAATCAATTTTTAACATACACGATCACTTATAATCGATGGTACGTTTCCGAGTATTGATTATAACCAACTACTTATCGGAGTCGATCGGTTTAATAGTGTTAATAACAAACTCAAAACATCCAAAATTAACGATAGTAACACACTACAAGAAAATTAAAACTATATGCCGCTGCCACCGACACTCTGTTGAAGGGAATTTCTGTGTTACATGTTAAAATCACGATCCGCGTTATATTACATTTACTTTTTTACCACCCCCCACCATCAACACTTCAGTCCGACCCAAATCTTCCAATCCGTCATCTCGGTCGTCTACACCTTCAACCAACAAGATGCCAAGATGGATGCCACCGAGTTCTACAGCATACAGAATTTACACCAGTTTCACCATTCGCACACAAGCACAATGGTTCTTCACCGGTACAGCATTTTATGTTCTTAACGATGTCGGAAAGATTTTCTCGTTCTGAAGTACCATATTTATCGAGGAACAGGGCCACACGAGTCCCCTATAATCGATCACCTAGTCTACACGCGACCTGTACATTCGGACACCCCAAATAGTAATTAATCACTTTTTGAAAAAGTTTGTGTGGACAACTAATAGTGTATACAAACAGAGTATGTACCACGACAAAATCGAGGCCATTTCTAGGATGTTCACTCTTCAGGAATTCTCGTACAACCTGACAAGGAAAGCATTCGTTGGTAAATCTTAACTTATACTACTTATGTTATACTGAACTTATTTTACCTTATCTACCTAGATTAGGCTGTTTTAAGCACTTTTTACCATTGGCACTTTTGGGGGGGGGGGGCGCCTATTTCACCCTGAAAATCACGTTCGAGAGTAAAGAAAAATGCTAGAAATCAATGAGTTTTGGGGCTTGATAACATAGGTGCATAGGGTGATTTTTTTTATTATTAGGCTAGTCCATTTTAAACACACTTGACAAATTCCGTTTTTACCTAAGAAACCAGGTTCAAAAATTGTGGAAAATATTGAAGTAGGTATTAAAAATTAGAGTAGCCTACCACATTTTTTGGAAAAACCAAATTGAGTATATACTAAACTGACGTAACCTAACCTAACCCAACCCAACCCAACCCAACCCATGCTTAGGTTTACAATGTACCGAAATGACCGATTTTGGGTAAACCCTGGTTATGCTAGGTTAGGTTAGTCCTATTAAGTTATCGACACGTAGTAAAAACAAGTTGGGTCTTGGGTCCCTACCTACAGTTTCTTAACTTAGCGATGATAATACCGATTATTAGCAAACATTCATTCGACGATTCCACTATTAGCAAATTTGGTTGGTTAAGTTGGTTATTATAGTATTTTATAACTTATATAGGCTAGCTGGTAAATATATCGATTATTAAACAATATTTTAAATTTGATAGTTGCTATAGACACTAGTATAAGTTAGTCCATGTAAGAAATTGTACCAAAACAGGTTTTACACAGATTCCCATCATTAGTATTAGTTTTTCAAACACGATTTCCATGGTGAAATAGACGTTTTCCCCAAAAAGTGCCAATGGTAAAAAGTGTTTAAAGTAGTACAATTTAGGAAGATAAGACAGAAGAGGTTCAATATAACATAAGTAGTATAATTTCAGTTTTACCAATTCGGTCAACTAGAAAGTACATGTTATCATCACGCATTATAACATGTTTCTTATTTTCACTTCGCTAATTTTAGCCTACTAAATTATTATAATTTCCTTACGTCCTCTCAGGTGCTGAAAAACAACAAATAGCATAACCAAAATTTCGTCCACTTTGTCAATAGCCTATGGCCCGCTAAACAACATCAGATACCATAACCTAAATATCGTCCACTTTGTCAATAGCCTACGAAAACTATTTCGGGTACAGAAAGCTCAACAGCACACTTATTAATAACAAAAAACATGACCCATATCTTATTCAATTTATCAATACCAACTATTCCTGCCATTCAAATTAACCCGAATACCTCGCGAAGCCCGGGCACATCGGGCTCCGGTTGACGGCCCGGGTATAACACCAAAACACACCGGGCAACCGTACAAGCCCTGTAACTTTCAGGTACCGAGTACTCGAGTACTTATTAATAACACATGTTATAGCCTATTCCTTTTACATTTTGTTATTAACAACTGTTGCACCTTCCACATAAACAGATTAATTAAGATTTTGTACATGGCTACTGTACTCTTTCAGGTACTGAAAACTTGAGTACGCCCACTCATCAACAACAGACATGATGACACGTTACTTCTTCACTTTGTCAATACCAATCATTCTAACATTCACACGTATTACAATGTTACTACTTTCAGGTACCGAATGCTCGAGTACCTATCAATAGCATTTATTGTAGCCTATGCTCCCATTCCAGGGTCCTAAGTACTGTTGGTGAGATCGTCGCTGGCCCTCGTCGCCCCGTTAGAAAACATGATCCATATCTTATTCAAATTATCAATACCAACTATGCCTACCATTCAAATTAACCCGAATACCTCGCGAAGCCCGGGCACATCGGGCTACGGTTGACGGCCCGGGTATAACACCAAATCAGACCGGGCAACCGTACAAGCCCTGTCTCTTTCAGGTACTGAGTACTCGAGAGTACTACTTATTAATAACACATGTTATAGCCTATTCCTTTTACATTTGTTATTAACAACTGTTGCACCTTCCACATAAACAGATTAATTAAAATATTGTATATGGCTACTGTACTCTTTCAGGTACCGTAAACTTGAGTACGCCCACTCATCAACAACAGACACGATGACATGTTACTTCTTCGCTTTGTCAATACCAATCATTCTAACATTCACACGTATTACAATTTTACTACTTTCAGGTACCGAATGCTCGAGTACCTATCAATAGCGTATATTATAGCTTATGCTCCCATTCTAGGGTCCTAAGTACTGTTGGTGAGATCGTCGCTGGCCCTCGTCGCCTCGTTGTAAATTTTTCGGGTGTTGACACGGATATAACACCAAAGCCCGTCAAAGACGGGTACACTACAACAGCCAGGCCAACGTATGATCTAGTCTTCCGTCGATTTGCACAGGCTCACGCTTATGAGTACGTGATTGGCGATGCCACTTTCAGGTACAGAATGCTCTAGTACTTATTAATAACACATATTACAGCCTATTCATTTTACATTTTGTTATTAACATCTATTACACCTCACACATAACCAGATTATTATAACTTTCGTATATGCCTACTGTACTCTTTCAGGTACCAAAATACTTCTCCGGATGGGGACTGCCACGACGATCTCGCCATCCATTGTGGTGTGGGTATCGATTGTATTGGTGGTCCTGTGTATGTTCCAGTTGTTGACGAAGGTTGTTGGGACCCGCCGTCCATGAAGAAGTTGTCGGTGGATTATACACCGGACTCGGTTATCCCAGAAGAGACTCCACTCCAAGTGGGCCGTACATTTAGAACAGGTCCGATAGTAACTTCCATCCATCACATTTCTTACTTGCCCAACTTCACCAGGCCATCGCTATTGCACCGGGTACACCTTACTAGATTCATTGTAGCAACAAACCTAGATACTCACTAAACCTAATATAATTTAAATAGACCTAATCGAAAATCAATTCAAACGAATGGAAATTCGCTTAGTCGACCCTGTGACACAGGACTACAAATGGTAACCAGCACTGAAGGGCCGTTGAAATAGTCCAGACCTTTCACACACACTTCAGTTCCGTGTAGTCATATTTAATAGCACTTACTAAATAACCCGGGTTTCACGAGTTGCCCTGGCCAATACCCAAGGCCCGAGGGGACAGGGTCATGACTGTTACCCGGCACTGACGGGCCCGTGGCACAACCCGGACTGTTTCATGCATACAGTACTTCAGTTCCACGTAGTCACATTTTATGCCATTTGCTAAAAAAACGGGGTTTAACGAGTTGCCTGGACTAGCCCGGGTTTCACAAGTTACCCGGGTCAATACCAGGTACCCGGTGGGACGGGGTTATGAATGTTACCCGGTACTAAGGTAACTGGGACATAGCATTGACTGTTTGCTATATACACTAGTTCCGCGCAAATTGCTCCAGTGTCCACTCAAGATAACAACAGCTTGAATGTTATGTTACAGAAGACGGGAGAAAAAGCCGAAAAACGACAGACACCAACAAGGAAAGCAGCAGACACCAAGATCAAGAAAAGCACAGACACACGCTATTACGATGGTGTCTCTGAGGTTTCGACACATCAGCTTTGTTGACTTCATGATGGCGTTTAACTTCGTCAGGCGTTCAAGTTTATTGAATATGGCGTGGGCGAGAGTACATACTGCAGTGCACTGGTTATACCCAACAGAAAACCCAGTGTGAACCCGCCTCTCGCTCTCCCATGCCTTTCTCTTCTCGAAGATCAGCCCATCCTCTTATATCGCTCTCTCTACTAGTTGTGATATCTGGAACAGACGCGAAAACAATGGTAATAGAATTATTTGTGTTAGAGATCGGTTAACCCTTGACCTGGCGTTGGTCCCTAGGGGACTAGAAATTGTTGAGTTCTCAGTGGCGGTGGTCCGCTAGGGACCAGAAAGACATAGTTTGGAACTTTCTATTTCTATAATACTGAAACAGTTTAAAACCGAAATCAATCTTATACCATTAGAAAGAAGAGATTCTGAGGATTAATTTGTATGTATAAAACATCATTGAACGAGAATTATGTAGCGAAGAAACATAGTTAGAAAAACTAGAGCGTTCAAAATTTATTTTGGCGGTGGAAAGTATTAGTCGCATGGCAACGAAAACAGCGGTTTTTTGTTTAGGAGTATTTATATGTTATAGATGAGTACGAGTGACCAGAAAGTGTTGCCACTGAAGAGAGGCATGACCCCAAAATACACCCGCCACTGAGGACTAAAATGACCGCCAGATCTAGGGTTAACCCAACTGTCTGGGTTGCAATGCAAATTTACCAAAACGTACTCTCAGGGTACAAGCGAAACACTTAAACTACAAGACTAGAGAAAATAAATATCTGACATATGCATCCGGTACAATACCAACCTGTGTCCAGGATATAGCATTTAGTACTCTCATAAGACTTCTTCCCTTTACCCGCGAGGTTGTAACTCTTACCGATCTCCTTCCTTAGGAGTTATCTCATTAGGTTGCATCCCAAACACAAACCACGAGCTATTTACTCTCCACACAGTTAATACCAATTATTCTAAAACGTTTTATATTAACTTTCCCGTCACCTTCAGATGACCAATGGGACAAGGTTGTAGATGGTGCCCGGTACTGCCGGGGCCAGTGACAAAGCCCGAACTGTTTCGTGTTTACCTCAGTTCCAAGTTGTCATGTTTCACGATACTCACTAAATAACTGGAAAACGGATGTCACAATAAGTGCCGTTTCACGCATACAAACTGATATTACTCTAGTACCGCGACAACTAGGTGTGTATAACAGCTTGAATGTTATGTTACAGAAAACGAGAGAAGGAGCCGAAGAAACAGCAGAGACAGCAAACGTCGAAAGGGGCACAAAAGAAGACTAGCACTGACAACGCACGACTCCTCAAACCCATCCACCGTTTAACCAACTTAAATTTTAATAACTTTACAATATTTAAATCCCATCTTGTATCTAACCACACAAATATTGTACAAATAGTTTCAGGCCACATGTTCTGCCAAACAACCAATTAACACTAATTAATAACTAAACACCGATCAATGACATTTTTTAAACGCACCTTTAAGAGTGCTCCAACGAGTCGTTGTGCACACCGGGTAGTGTGGATCTTGTTTGTATGAATGATTTTGTATTTAATATGTGTTTCAAGTTCATATTGCCTACATTATGTTCTCGAACACCCTCCTTGCTACTCGAACATACTCCAGGAGGCTGCCATGTTTATATTAATAGTTACGACGTACTACCATTCGATATCTATGTATTATTTCATGACAATAAACGAAACTGTGTCACAAAACGAGTTATGATTGCATGTACCCGAACTGAATACATATCTCACACCTAAGCAAGAATCAAACAAGAGTAGACAAAACATGATTACTCCAGGTAACAAATGCAAGTCAACAGAAAAGGAAAAGGGTAACAAAGGGAAACTTTACTACCGATTACTCTAAAGGAGATATGCATATATTGGGCGGCGTGAATAAAAACTAGAATTTGCTTAAACTGAGCTGATCTCAAGTATATATACTACCCATAGTAAATTCTAAAATTACCAAATGACTAGAACCTTTGTAGGTGAATAAATGCCAGTTATTACTAGCAAGCGCTAGTATAGTCCTAAAGATTTTTGAACTAGGGGTAGGCAGGCTAGCATTCTAGTGACGGAGGCAAAACAAAAGGTTTATCAGTCATCATGGCTATGTTTAGTACATTTACTATCACGCTTGCTGGCTTAAGCATATGCAATCGTAACAGTGTTTACTTATATAAAGCGCGTGTTAGCAATGGCTTAAAGCTTTTTTTTAAGAATAATAGATTTCCGTGCATTGTTCAGCAAGAAAATTATCTTTCTGCTTTACCATATTTTCTGGATTATTTTTTTTATATATTTTTTGGACAATTCAATTTTTAACATATAGATTTACAAGTCTTTAAAAACGTAGTTTAACCTTTATGGCCTTTATAGGATAGATGTTGCCATAAATGTAAAAAAATAATAGTACTGCACCCTGTTGGTAAACTTTGTAACTTTTTTATGCTATTTAATATCATAGAACCATCTTGTGTACCTAGTTGAATTAGCTGAAAAATTATTTTATTCCTTTTAAATATGATTACTCATAAGGTTAACACGGGAAACTCCAGAGCCACTGAAGCGGAGCCCGATAGAACTTTAGAGATAAGAATGCGTCTATATGTTAATCGGGAATGTGAGCTATCATCATACCAAATTTCAGCCAAATCTGACCAGTATTTTTCGCGTTTACTTGTCACAAACATGCATACATCCATACACCCAAACTTTCTCATTTATAATAGTATCGTAGGATTAAACTTTGATTTATCAATTTAACCTCCCACCATAATAAAATGTTACACTCTTTAAGCATAAAGTTGAACAACCCGGATAATAAATATGAAATTAACATCGTAAATCAGGACTACAAATATTTTCTCTATGTTTGTAGTCCTGATCCTGAATGGAATGTTTTGTTTGTTTTTAGCTTGATCAATTTTCGGAGCGTAAGCAGAAGCTCAAACCATAATCCGGTTAATAATTTAGTCAGCTGTGTTTTACAAGTATAATATACAAACACATTTTTATCGTTACCATTAGTGCTTGTTCCTATCTAAAAATCTAAAAACTAAAAATAAACTCAAGTGCATTTATTTTTGTGTTTCTACTAAACTAGTTCATTTCCCTAAACCTACGAACGTTTTAAATTGGATATATCTTGGGGTAGTGCAACTCGAACTAATTACATGTACCTGATGAGATTAAATATAACACAAACACCCCTAAACGTATAAAATCATAACAAGACAAGCATTAACATGTCGACTTCCTTTTTTTCTGTTTTTGTTAACCAAGCAATCGATTCAGAAATAAAACATATACTTTAGCGGTCGATTATATTTTATTTTGTTGCAATTTCATCTCGGCTTTATTATGCATTAAGCCACAAACTAATTTTTTGCAATGTCATGTAAATACACGTTAATAAAGCAAAACCAATTCTACTGGAGAGAATATATTCGGTTTCGTCACAAGAGGTTCTCAATTTGTCACCGATGTCAGAGGCGCCACATGGAGCAAACCTCAACTATTTATACCTGAATTGGTTCTCCTATGATTCCCTCCAACTGGGAAATACACTAGTGCGTTGTTGTATCAGATTTTGTATTACATACAACATTCCCGCTCTGTTTTATCATTAGATTATAATCCATCCATTGTGTGGGATTCCGCCTTACGTTAAACACCTAAACATAATTTATCTATACAGATTACGGTTCCTATATCAAAGTAAGATCGAGTAATTTGTGTTGAAATAACTAAATATTTGCTTTCTTACTGACTGAGATCAGTATTTATAGAAATAATAATTATTTAATTTATTTTATAATAATGATCAAATACTACTGGGTTCCGTTTTGAACTGTCAAAAAATTATTCTGGCCTTTTATAGATAACAGTCAACTCTGATTACAGGCGAGTGCTGTATCCATTCAGCTACATTGTCAGGCTTTAGTCGCGACACTTCCAAAAAATATGACTTATGACAAGATGAATTAATCTAAGGATCTTTGGATCCTAATGCAAAGGGGTTGAAACCTACAATTTATTGGGATTTTGCAAAATAAATATTTGCTATTGTAGATTGTTAAATTAAAACATTTTTTTCGTACGATGATTATTGTCTATCACAATTTAACATTATTTCAATAGACAAAAGATAAAATTATTGGAAAAAATGTTTACAATAATTATTGTACATGGTGTTTGCCGTCGTTATAAATAAATAAATTGTATTATTTGTATTTTGATTATAAAATTGTTCAAAATCTAATGTTAGATAAATACTTGATAAATTCACTTGACCGTAAATAAAGCTTTTGATGCTTTTGGTGAGTGGGGAAACTATCAAATCTAAATGCCGTTAGAGGAACTAAATTAAAAAGGACTCGTTTAATTTGATTGATTTAATAGAATGCCCTATTAAAATACTAAATTAATTACACTTCATACTTCGTCCTATGCCGTCAATTATTGTTAACGTTACTAAAACAAGTTTAAATATGTTTCAATGTCACATATTTATATCCTTTTGTTTATAAATAATAAATTCAAATATTATATGTTTAAGCAGCCTTTTGATCATTAATATAAACAGTTTTAGAAAAACTCTGGTTATAAAATTCTAGATATTTTTTATTTGTATAGCAGTTGGATACTCAATGATTAGTTGTACAAAAATACGAACGGATTAATCGTGCATCGTAACAATTTTTATTACAATGCAATGATTCTATTTAGTTAATCATTTATGTTTTTATAATTATACTATCCACAGTTTAACAAAAATAAATACACATTTATAAGAGACTAATCAATTGATATGTTTAAACATTTAGTATTTTGCTTATGTATTATATTAATTCTTTAATTCAATTAAAATTAATATACCGTACATATCTTAGGTTATTCAAAAAAGTAATAATGAATACACAAAAAAATGTACGTAATTTGAGTTTTTAATACATATGACATTTAGGTTTGAAACATGTAAAACGCATATTAATCTTTTAGAAAATAACCATACAAACATATTAATATATACTTCTGTAACTCTATTTCAAACCAGCGTGACCAAAGGTATTACCAAATTCCTACTGGCAAGTGTATACGTCAATATTTACCCGCTAAAATAATTTAATAATAAATTAATAATATTCACAAACAAACATTTTATACATTAAAATTCATTTATTCCTTACCAATTTCGCAACAGCTAACCGCTTAATGTCACAAATCACAAGACACTCCACTAATTTGTTTTTACAATTCGCTACACAAAACTATACACTTTCGTTGAAATTCTACACTCAAATATCCATCAATGAAAATTTAAATCACAGCTAAATTGAACGCGATGCGCCAAATCAAGTCGCAACGACGCGCACACCACACTATATTTAAATTGACCGGAAGTCCTTAGTTACTCACACAGCCGCCATTTTGTTTTTTTCAGTTATTAATTTTTTTCTAAAGAATGGTTAAACTTACGAAATTGAAACTTTGCACAAACATTTATGACGACTAGACAAAGCTATCAAAAAATTATGACGATT